GGTACCCGTCACAAAAACTTGCAAAGGCAAGGCAAGTGTTCACCTGAAAAAAAACACGGGAACATATCATACAAGACGAAATAGTGAAATCGGACATCATTTGTGTCACTGATGCGTCAATCTGGGTAATGTCCTCCACATGTCTACCATTATTTTTTTTAACCTTTACGAGGTTGCAGTATTAGTAATACAGCGTAACATGGTTTCACTGAATAGTGTGAAGATCATGTTTTAATGCTCTTTCATATAATAGATTTAGAGGCATGTGATTTGCTGAAGATTATTTGTCATTATTGCCTGCACACTGTGATTAGCTGTACGTTTATAACGAACACGCTTGTAACGAACCGACGGATGTAACGAACTTATGTTTTGGTCCCGGCCATTTGCTGTATATATGCTGTACATATGCATATAACGAACTACGGTTGTAACGAACTAATATTAGTGATCCCTTTGAGTTCGTTATAACCGTAGTTTACTGTACGGATTGCAGTGCTTTGTGTTATATAGGAAAGTGACACGTCCATATCACACACTGATGACGCAGGAAAAGAATTAGGTCACGGATGAATACCATAAGAAAACACTGTGAACGAGCGACTATTCTCCATCACAGAATGTAACATCACATTAATGACCCGTCAGCCGACGAGGTGGACCGTTGCTAATGATTTCAATCACTAGTTTGTCTGGTCCAGATTGGATATTTACAGGCCGCCGTGATGTCTTGGTTTTTTGTTTGTTGTTTAACGCCACACACAGCAATATCCCAGCTATATGACGGCGGTCTGTAAATAATCGAGTCTCAACCGGACAATCCAGTGACTGGCATCATGAACATCGATCTACGCTATTTGGATACGATAACATGCATGAACCAAGCAAGCCTGACCACCCGATCCCGTTAGTCGCCTCTTACGAAAACAATGGATTGCTGAAGACCAGTTCTAACCCGGTTCTACACGGGTCTGCCGAATATATTGCTATAGAGTTAAACAACGTTCACAAACAACATGTCCCAAAGACATCTGCCACATTTCAAGAAGGGCTTTCTTATCCGGTTTAAGTTATATCCGGTTTAAGCTATACTGGCCCATTCTCGTTTATTTGTTCTCATATTGTGCCACCACCCCAGTGCGTCATGTTCAACAGATGCCAAAGTTTCTTAAAAAATATTTCGATGAATAAATGTGCTGACGTAATTCAGGATGTTTTGTAAATCATGAAATGACACTCGTGTAATTTATTGCACAGTAAAAACACATGTACATACATAATTGCAGTGTCCGCTATGTGTGTCATTGTGAGTAAAATATTAATAAGGGTTCATATGGCACCAAGTGGTTCCTGGCTCCAAGTGTTTCCTTTCCTGAAATATAAATTAACCCTTCAATCCAAGCAATAAACATAGATGTGACGTATCGTAATTCACAGCTAATAATCGTCACTGCCATTTGGAAACAACAAGGGTTAACACTGAATTAGCTTTGTGCAAAGTTACCCCAGTCCACCTGTTTACAAACCACACTTCTATATGCATCAGTTACCTGCAACATGGACAACAACGATTTTTTCCTAACTATCTCTTTCCTATGACGTATTGCCTCCGTCATGTTGTTTATCAATGTTCATTCCGTGGCGATAAAACTGAGACGGTGACATTTCGTGCTGCAGTGAACATGCGCTGTGTGTGGGAGTAGGACCGCGTCAACACCATGGCCGAAGGCGGGCTGAAGATTGTAGATCTACCTTAACACAGAACCCCGACTTTGCAACACATTTGTGATTAATATGAAATTGCATGCATTTTGTACATTGATTTTTTAAAATATTTGACGATTTATATATATATTTTTGAAACTAATTCAATTTCACCAATAACATTGTGACGGGAGAAACAATGGCTATAGGTGTTGCAATTATTCTCAAACTTTGTCTTCATGTTACCAATATTGACTACAAATTCAAACTAGGGTTGAAGTGTTTGTTCTTCGAGTCTACTGTATGTAAATGGCATACTTCCTATCAAGTAAAAAGAAACAGACAAATACTTTTTCCATTAATTGTTTATTAAATTCGGTTTAAGACAAGAAGAGATGGATGGGACCTGGGTTAAGATAAGTCACCAGGAATATTGCTGGTCGTAAGATTGGATTTGATCGGTGACATGGTTGATTGCGTGTTATCGTGCTTCGAATACGGGAGTGAGTGAGTCAGTCAGTGAATCAGTGAATCAGTGAGTTAAGATTTAAAGTCACATCGGCAACTATCCAGACTTCAACAAGTTACTTATGAATAATGATACATTTAGAATATAAAACCTGTCGACAATGTACAGTAAACCGATTGTCTCAAATGTCTGGTGTAAACAAGACTATACCCTGTGTCGTTGAAAGAAACCAAACGGCTGCAGCAACTTTAGTTGATGGATGGGTCTACAAACAGCAAGAACCCATGGTATGGACTAGTGAGTGTAGTTCTTGGTATTGCTTTGAAACGTTTGGTCAAACCAGAAACACGCTCCACTTAATCAGAGAAATACCGCATGTTCATAAATTTGAAATTTGCAAAAAGCGAATTGATTCTTTACACTTAAATAACATGCAAAGACAAAAATATGTTTCCCCAAATGTCCCCACACTATTTCAAATTTCAGGAACCACCAACAATTTTCTATTTAAACACAAATCTCATCCAATTTGTCCAATTAAAGGAACGTATTGCAGCTCATGATGTAAACGGCTACCAAGACGCAGAATACTGCAACTGTTGGTCATATAATCACAGGTGTTCTTTATTGTTGACATTAACAACCTTTGTCAGTTATTCAAATTATTTTCTTTTTATTCACAGACAACATTTGAGACAAATGGAATTAATACCACGAGCATTCTCATAAATCAAAAATTTGCCTGAATAATTGCAATCTCAGAAAAGAACCAAGTTCAATTCTGTCAAAACGATTAATATTTAACTTTGTACACAATCTTAAAAGAAAACCCCATTCCTTGATCCATTGAGCGTTTGTCACTAAACGTGGTGACCATAGATAGAATTACATCTCTTTCTTTTATTAACTTCAGGACAATTTGTCAAAAATGAAAGTATTTATCATCTGAAGTTTTCTGAGAAAGCAATATCTGAAATGGTGGACTTCGTCAAGGATCACATCCATGTGCAATGTATGCAACAAGGCGATAGGACATTTAGGCAAGAAGTGGGCGTCCTCTAGGGCCCCACACTCCTCTCCTCTCTGGTCAGATTCCTAATGCATACACGTCAGAATTCGCTTCTCGGATTGCCATAACAAACCCAAGGAAACGTGGCCAAGAATTTTAACTAAAACGCTTCAGGTACAGCCAAACACTATTGTGTCGAACTTTGATGAGTCGAAGTAAAAGCATGGTCCCTGCGTATTCCTGCTCTATTTGTTTTCGGTTGTGTCGAACCTCGGATAACTTGAAGCATGTACGTAGGTTTCTTCAACTTCGACCTGTGAAACAGCCTGATCTGTTACATATTTGATAGTGATTCATAAACACGTGCTGATGATACAGTCGGAATTGTACAACGGACTCTGCTTTCGGACAGATACCTCATGATGATGGAAAGGACTGTATCGCATTTAATTAGTCAATGCTGTAATGACAATAAGTGCGTGTGTGTTTTAGTTTTATTTATTCATAATCAAAATATGTACACAATAAAAGTACTATAAACAAATACATTTCAAACATAAACCATCAAATGACGAGTGTGAAGTACAATTACCTACTAAGGTATCAGAATAAAAACACATACATATTGGCTATCTAAGTTGTATACGATGTTTATTACGATTAATAAGTAAACAATTAGAATACATGGGAATATAATAAAAGTATATATATTTTGGAGAAAAAAATTATTCCTAATACAGGAAACATCAATTTCTTTTAAAATCTAAATATAAATGTTGCTTGTAGTTTATTAATGAGTAAAACCTACCGTTGGCGAGTGTCATTAATTCGATACCAATCCCACACTGCTACACTGACATATGCTAATGGTATAGAGTTTACTTTGGAAGGACGAGGTAGAATAAGGGCCGTTTTAGGCCCACTGCAAATGTCATATTTTAAAAAAATGCGACAAATTATGTACAAATGGCTGACATCAAGTTTGTTTTCTTCCTTACACATGCAAGGTTTGGACTTCCGGGGTGATGAAAATATTTCATAAATACACCAAAGATGATTGAAAATGACGATTTTTCTAACCTCAAATGAAAATCTTATTATGGGCAAATCCGGGACCCAACATGAATTTGTTTAGATGTGTGAACTGTTTTTATCTACTTCTCCTATGAAAGTACGCTTGGGGAAAAGATTTGCTCATGCTCAAATATTAAGAAAACGCATCCTGAAAACCTCTATAAACCTTATCCTTATCTATGCATTAAGTGTTTCATACTAAAAAAGGTTTTGCTCACTGAGATAATGTGGGTCATCTACCATTAACCAACCCCGTATTCCTAAAATAAACGCCTTATTCCCTTCAGTCTCAACCGTACGTTTGACTGCTGCTTACTACGGCAATATTTTTGTCTCAGATATCGACATGATGACGAAACGTCACTGACCTGGTCACAGGGATTTTTACCTTTGCAAAATGGATGAAGCCAGTACAGTTTGAGCTTACAAACTATTATTGCAATCCTATGTCGTTAACATTCCAAATTAGCACATTAATGATAACGAGAGACTAGATCGAGACAGTCACAAAGCATATGTTAGCTTTAAGCAAAGATTTCTTTATATTATTGTTAGTTTGTTTGTTTGTTGTTTAACGCCGCGCTCAGCAATATTCCAGCTTTATGACGGCGGTCTGTAAAATAATCGAGTCTGGATCAAACAATCCAGTGATTGACATCATGAGCATCGATCCACGCGATTGGGATCGATGACATGTATCAACCAAGTCAGCGAGCCTGACCACCCGATCCCGTTAGTCGCCTTTTACGACAAGCATAGTCGCCTTTTACGGCAAGTATGGGTTGCTTAAGACCTATTCTACCCCGGAATTTTCACGGGTCCTTTTTATTATTGAAAGGGGTTTGTCGCTTTTATTTATTTGGTTGATCTTATTCAAGAATACGGTGATTGGAAATGAATACCGCAGCTAACATCACCTTAACGTGAAATAAACAGTGGGGCGGATAACCACTTCTTTCACTGACGGATATACAGAGGTAGATTATATAATAAAAAGTAAACTCTACATCTTTTTTAAATACAACAAATTATGACATTTATTTGATAATATATACAAAGTTTACCAAGATATATTATCTGTTCATATGGTTAATATTGGCATTCTCAACAGCGTGTTTTCACCCTGAGATCAATACTACAGTACCAGTCGAAACAAACCTCTCCTCGAATGCAACCGGGGGGACGTTGGATTTGAAGGCTGAGATCGTTTGGAAGCTTATTTTGTCTTTTAGTTTACAAACAATCCTACCTCAGAGCACGCCTGTCTCGCTATCGAGGAGACTTTGTTTTGAACAGTACTGTACATTCTGTAAATTATGTAAAAATAAAAACAATACGTAGCTGTCGATACGACTCAACTCACTTAATACACAAGAACTATTTACATGTGACGTATTTACAACTCCACTCCCGCCCTTGTCTGTACGCTACACTAAACAATACATAATGGCCGTTCGAAATTGTGGTTTGGTAGCATGTTTCGTCACCTTCGCCACACTGCAGTCAAATGGTTTAATCCCTAGGTTAAAGCCCTTTGTTTTGCTTTGCTTGTTAGGTGTCTTCCATTCCCCATTGCGATACAGTTGCCGGCGTTACCATACAAAACTTTAACTCATGAACGATGGAACATTTTGAAAGAATTGATGCATATTAAAGAAAAGGCTTGTACTAGAATGTGCATCACGTGTCTGTGATGATCAATTATTTTGTCAACTGTTGTTTCTTCTCAATTCTCAAGTTCCACAGTCTTCATAGTGATCTTTAAATTTATAAAAAAATTGGGTCGAGTTGTGGAAACTTGATGTCTTATTCGCACTTAACTGCGTGTGTGAAACCTCAATGGATATGGTCTTCATAAAGAGCCACCTCAATACATATCGCTACCTCCTACTTCGAACGGCTGTAGTATCACCACATCCCATTATTTAATTGTTTGTTGTTTTACGCTGAAATCAACAATATTCCAGCTATATGACGACACAACCTGCCACATGGTCATGGAGTATATGCATATGTAACAGTAGGAAATAATCCACGTTTACAAAAGTGTTCCCTGATATGCGTCTCTGGCAAAGCACAAAATCACTGCATCAATACAGGCTTCGCGTCACGTAAAATCATTGCGTCAAAACAGGTTTCGCGTCACACAAAATCATTGCGTCAATACAGGTTTCGCGTCAAACGAAATCACTGCATCAATACAGGTTTCGCGTCACACAAAATCATTGCATTAATACAGGCTTCGCGTCACACAGTCACACAAAATCATTGCATCAATACAGGCTTCGCGTCACACAAAATAATTGCATCAATACAGGCTTCGCGTCACACAAAATCATGGCGTCAATACAGGTTTCGCGTCACACCAAAATCATTGCAATAATACAGGCTTCTCGTCACACAGTCCACAAAATCATTGCATCAATACAGGCTTCGCGTCCCGCCAATCACTGCATCAATACAGGTTTCGCGTCACACAAAATCATTGCATTAATACAGGCTCCGCGTCACACAGTCACACAAAATCATTGCATCAATACAGGCTTCGCGTCACACAAAATTATCGCATCAATACAGGCTTCGCGTCACACAAAACCATGGCATCAATACAGGTTTCGAGTCACACAAAATCATTGCATCAATACAGGCTTCGCGTCACACAGTCACACAAAATCATTGCATCAATACAGGCTTCGCGTCACACAAAATCATTGCATCAATACAGGCTTCGCGTCACACAAAAGCATTGCATCAATACAGGCTTTGTGTCACACAAAATCATGGCATCAATACAGGCTTCGCGTCACACAAAATCATGGCATGAATACAGGCTTCGCGTCACACAAAATCATGGCATGAATACAGGCTTCGTGTCACACAAAATCATTGCATCAATACAGGCTTCCCGTCACACAAAATCATGGCATCAATACAGGCTTCGTGTCACACAAAAGCATTGCATCAATAAAGGCTTCGTGTCACACAAAATCATGGCATCAATACAGGTTTCGCGTCACACTTTTCACATTTTGTCCTTGAATGGAAACATTCCCCTGAGTAGAACTGTGAATATTGAAGCAAACGCTAGGAGACCGCCTTCCTTCCAATGTTCAAGTCCAGTTTGAATTTACGGAATATTTTCAGTTTATGTCCAGGCAGTTTTCTTATTTCAATCACATGATCGTCACTTGAGGGTTTGTTGATTCCGTTTGTGGTGAAACTATCCTTCGTAATGTCATTTGAAAGATTAATCACAGTGTCATTACCGCGGTGCTTGTTATTTGTATCGTTCGTGTCAATAATATCCACATTAAACTCATCACTACAAGTCTTGCCTGAATCGATCTTCTCGGGAAAAACGTCATCGGAAAGAGTGTCTGGAAAATGACTTCCGGTCACAGAGGTCAGAGGGAGGTCACTAGAACTACTTCCGCCGGAAGTCTCGCTTTGATCTGAATCTTGCCTTTTCTTAGGCAAGCCACACACCATTAACTTCCAAAAGCGGTCTAACTTCTTGGAGTTTTCTTCCCCGGGCCAATTAATGTACGTAACAGTGTTGAGAATCTGCTTCAGATTCTTATCCATGTGCTTCATCTTAGACATGTCCCCAAACACGATTGGAAGAATCCTATGCTTCATCTTCAGCATCTCATGTTGAGCTTTCTGGTACTCCAGCATACACCATTCGCTCTCAACATACGCTGGGGACAGGATAATGATAGTACGTCTACTGCTTTCAACAGCCTTCATTATGTTGTTGGCAATGGCTGAAACATTATTTAAAAAGATGGTGAAGTATCTGAAGAAGACAACTTGCGGGCAGGGAACAGGTAATTTAAACAATTTGAAAGGTCCAGGTTTTTTTGTTTAATGTATAAATCAGTTTGGCTGTATATTTTTGTACCCTCGATTGTAATAAAGTCTATGGTGGCATATTATTGTAAAATATTTTCTTAACTTATTATTCAATAAAATCTAATTTCATATGTATAAATTTCAACTGAGAAGCAAAAGAAATTATACCTCTCAGTTGATTTTATCATATGTTCGATTTTCAAAAGACAATATTGTATCTTAAGTTAGCGATATTATATTTGTGAGTGAGTATGGTTTAACGCCGCTTTTAGCAATATTCGAGCGATATCACGGCGGGGGACACCTTAAATGGGCTTCACACATTGTACCCACGATATTATATTAAAAAAATGAACGGTACTGGCGCTTAGTCGGCACTCAAAGATAACTTCTACATGGTTTCAATTTTTAAATATAATTTGATATAAATCGTTTAATTTTTCTTTCGCATAATACACAATTGCTGATGGGTATCTTAGACATGGCGGGGGGCAGCTGGGGGTTGCAAGTTCATTTCTTACCCAGTCCTCATTGTACCAATTTATTTTTAAGATTACTCAGATTACTTTTTTCAAACTATCGCAGGAATGAGTGATACATCATCCATTTTAACAACAACTCTTTCAACTCCCACTTACATCAAAGCAATCTCTGTATACTCAGTTAATAATATGACACAAAAATCATCAATCAAATTAATAAATGTAAAAAGATTTTTTAAAAGGCAGTGAGAAAGGTACATTTACCGTTATTGTCGAAATACTTACTGTATTATGCATATCATTTACAAAAGTTACTGTTTTGTCGTGCATGGGTTGTGTGCGTGTGTGTGTGTGCGTGCGTGCGTGCGTGCGTGTGTGTGTCGGTGTGTGCGTGAGTACGTGCGTGCGTCGGTGTGTGTGTGTGCTTGCGTGCGTGTGTCGGGCTGTGTGTGTGTGGGGGGGGTGGGGTGGGGGGGGTGGGGGGGGGGGGGGGGGGGGTGCTAAATGGACCAAGTTTTGAAGAGTGTCACCGACAGGATGCATTATGTGTTGTACTCAGTGAACACTTCACATTCCCTTCTGACTCATCAGTGGTACCTGGTGCCCGTGTTTGCCTTCCCAGTGTCATAAGTTTTCATAAACGTGCCCACGTCGTGTTTCAGCATCTATTAAATTCCATTTTTGGGGGTCTCCAAGTAGAAAGTTATTAACTCGGATGTTTAATTGGCCCAGGCCGATGTCTTGGCGCCGTACGTATTTACACGTTGCGTGTCATAAATATTTCTCCTTAATAAATTGAATATAGTGTGTATGGTTTGAGGTGTATATATTCGTATTTGCAATAAACCTCATTATTACTGCTTTATTATTAAAAAGGGTTTCTTTATAAGATATATTGCCTGCTCGGCAATAAAGTGGAAGATTAATGGTTCATAGTAATACACGTAGGCGTGTCGTACTGCCTTGTCATTTATGTCATTCATATGAAATGAGTACCCAGTGTGTAATGGTTAACTTAATTTTAGTAATGCCTTCGTCTTAAAATCTATGCTACGAAACGACACTTTTCAAACTTGTTCCACCAGTCGCTTATATTGAGACCACATTGTGTTGATCATCAATAAGAAACAAAACAATGCATAACGTCTAGATTGAGATATGTATATGAATATACTATATACATGTAATGACTTAATTCCGGAAAACGAAATATACATGACCCGTTTTTATGGATATCAGCTTCTGTATTCTTTGTAAACGAATTTCATGACTACTTGTTGCCCCTTCATCGCGCCCTTCATCAAACGAATGGCAGTCTTGCCCCTTCATCATGTTCATCATGTTCATCTGATGAAGGGGGCGGTCGGGTAGCCTAGTGGTTAGAGCGTTCGCTCATCACGCAGAAACCCGCGTTCGATTCCCGACATTGGTACAATGTGTGAAGCCCATTTCTGGTGTTCCCCGCCGTGATATTGCTGGAATATTGCTAAAAGCGGCGTAAAACCAAACTCACTCACTCATCTGAAGAAGTGGCAAGAAGTAGCCCCGAAACGTCGTTTCTCAAGAATATAGAAGTTATTATCTATTACAAAAGTGTTCACGTATATTTCGTTTCATTCCGGAATTACGTCTGTATATCTATATAGTATATTCATACACAGGACGTTATCTTATCTCAATCTAGACGCCATGTATTGTTTTGTTATTTTTTGAGGATCAACATAATGTGATCTCATGTTCTTCCATCTTCTAAATTCTCACCAAAGACTTTACAGAATGAGTGTTACTTAACCATTTTCCGAGTGTAACACGCTCATTGAAAATTTAAGCCTATCTCCATGTGAATCATCTAACTTTATACCAGTATTATCTTAAAGACCACTCACTTTCTCCAGGCAGAAAATCCCGGAAGTGCATGCACAGCTTGAAGTCCAGCTCCTTCTCCAGCTTGGGGTACAGCTTGTGAACCACGAAGTCCTCATCCTCCTTCGTAGACTTGTACGACACAAATGCATCGAACTCCTTTCCATCTGTGAATGAAGCAGTGAATCGGTAATAGGGAATGAACGCTATTGGCAGAGCCACAGTGTCGTAGGTGGCACCACCAAGTTGCGTCACGCCAATATTAAAGTTATGATTAGAAAACTGCCCCCCAAACGAATAGGCTGGCAGGTTGTGATGAATCAGAATATGGTATGTAGTTGCCACCTGCATTGCCGAGCATGAGAGATAGAACAGAACGAAGACTGGTAAGATATCACTGTCGTGTGTTTATAAACCTGTATTAATTAAAATTACGATTATTCTGCCTGAATTGGAAAAATAGCTCTATGTATTCCCGAATCACCTGTATAGTGACTTCGACGAGTACTACTGGAGGGGGCGGGGGGTCTGGTAATTGAATCGTGTCTGGTATAATTAAACCCCGTTTATCCGACCGGGATTCGATCCCCGGCCGCGTCGTACCAAAAGCAGTTAAAAGATGGTACTTGTTGTTACCCTGCCCGGCGCTCGGCATTAAGGAGCTAAAACAAGGACTGGTCGGCTCGGAGTCAGTATACTGTGTCTGAGTGGGGTATTCATGTGTACACTGCGGCATGGTATCTCAGTGGGCTAGTACTTAAAATCGATATTGTCCGGATTAGTACAAGCAGCCACACTCACGCAAACACACACACACACACACACACACACACACACACACACACACACACACACACACACACACACACACACACGTGGATACAGGTCGCTATATAAGTGCAATAATCTTGGACGAGACGTTAAACCCCATTTCACCTTACCTAATCCGATCGGTATCGTCTCCACTGAATTCGCCCGGATTAACAAATATCCGGGTTAACGAAACGTATAATACACTTTTATCTTTAACCAACAGAATCTCTGCATTTGTACTAGAAGATTCAAAATTAACATATTTTTTTTTACTGTCAACAAAGTCAGTAAATGCGCTATCATGTCACTGGATTGTCTGGTCAAGATTCGATTGTTTACAGGCCGCCGTCGTAATGCAGTAGTGTTGCTGTGATACCTCAAACAACAGACACTTATTTTTTATGCAAATTGTGTGAGTAGCTGGTGCTGCCGACTGAGACATGTTTACCTTCTTGTCGAACACCTGGTGTCATCACTGATTTTCAGTGATCCATTTATATGATTTTCTATATTGCCTTTTACACCCAATGGCATCTGTTTCGGCTGATAATCGAGACTGGTTATTCTCTAGCGTTGACGTTTTATATACACATTTATTAGTTGTTTGTTTGTTGTTTAACGCCGCACTCCGCAATATTCCAGCTATATGACGGCGGTCTGTCAATAATCGAGTCTTGACCAGACAATCCAGTGATTGATACCATGCGCATCGATCCACGCAATTGGGATCGATGACATGCATCAACCAAGTCAGTGAGCCTGACCACCCGAACCCGTTAGTCGCCTTTTACGACAAGCATAGTCACCTTTTACGACAAGCATAGTCACCTTTTACGACAAGCATTTTACGACAAGCATAGTCACCTTTTACGACAAGCATAGTCACCTTTCACGACAAGCATAGTCACCTTTAACGACAAGCATAGTCGCCTATTACGGGAAGCATAGTCGCCTTTTACGACAAGCATAGTCACCTTTTACGGCAAGCATAGTCGCCATTTGCGGCAAGCATAGTCACCTTTTACGACAAGCATAGCCACCTTTTACGACAAGCATGGGTTGCTAAAGACCTATTCTACCCCGGATTATATACACATGCAGTCATGCCAAACAGAAGCGTCATGGATACTGGTTTCCGAACACTCGGGGCTCGGACTAGCGAAGTCTCATTGTGTGTATTGCTTCTATCTTTATTGGACTTTGTAGTCATAAAAAGGGTAATGAAATATTTAAGGATTTAAGAAAATGAGATCTAGATCTATTATTGTGTTTTATGTGTGTCATTATTCATTTTGGCTCCAAAACTCTTCAGGTGTTTCTTTCTCTGAACAATACTGCTTAAGTTAAACATTAAATTTTGGTTAAAAAACAGTGTATCCGATCTTGTGATACATATGAGTATCGCATTGTCAAGTCTCCCATTCAAGGTTCCAACGGGCATTCACATATCGCCTGACACCTGATGATGGATCACAGACGCTCAAGCAGGAAGTCATTCAGTCATTAATTGGCATTGGTTTTTCATCTACAAAGCATGTTAAGCACTGGTTGAGAGACGAAACAGGCAAGCGACCTGGATTTGTCAAAACAATAATCCATATTTCAATGAATAAACATAAATTAATGAGCATGTTTTTAATCCAACTACACCACTGCGACCTGTAAATAATCCAGCTACACCACGACGACCTGTAAATAATCCCGCTACACCACGGCGACCTGTAAATTATCCAACTACACCACGACGACCTGTAAATAATCCAACTACACCACGACGACCTGTAAATAATCCCGCTACACCACGGCGACCTGTAAATAATCCAGCTACACCACGGCGACCTGTAAATAATCCAACTACACCACTGCGACCTGTAAATAATCCAGCTACACCACGGCGACCTGTAAATAATCCCGCTACACCACGGCGACCTGTAAATAATCCAACTACACCACGGCGACCTGTAAATAATCCAACTACACCACGACGACTTGTAAATTATCAAGCTACACCACGGCGACCTGTAAATAATCCAACTACACCACGGCGACCTGTAAATTATCAAGCTACACCACGCGACCTGTAAATAATCAAACTACACCAGGACGACCTGTAAATTTCAAGCTACACCACGGCGACCTGTAAATAATCCAACTACACCACGGCGACCTGTAAATAATTCAACTACACCACGGCGACCTGTAAATAATCCAACTACACCACGGCGACCTGTAAATAATCCAACTACACCACGACGACTTGTAAATAATCCAACTACACCACGGCGACCTGTAAATTATCAAGCTACACCACGCGACCTGTAAATAATCCAACTACACCACGACGACTTGTAAATTATCAAGCTACACCACGGCGACCTGTAAATAATCCAACTACACCACGGCGACCTGTAAATAATCCAACTACACCACGACGACCTGTAAATAATCCAGCTACACCACGGCGACCTGTAAATAATCCAGCTACACCACGGCGACCTGTAAATAATCCAACTACACCAGGACGACCTGTAAATAATCCCGCTACACCACGGCGACCTGTAAATAATCCAACTACACCACGGCGACCTGTAAATAATCCAACTACACCACGACGACTTGTAAATTATCAAGCTACACCACGGCGACCTGTAAATAATCCAACTACACCACGGCGACCTGTAAATTATCAAGCTACACCACGACGACCTGTAAATAATCCAACTACACCACGACGACCTGTAAATTATCAAGCTACACCACGGCGACCTGTGAATAATCCAACTACACCACGGCGACCTGTAAATAATCCAACTACACCACGGCGACCTGTAAATAATCCAACTACACAACTGCGAGCTGTAAATAATCCAACTACACCACGACGACTTGTAAATAATCCAACTACACCAGGACGACCTGTAAATAATCCAGCTACACCACGGCGACCTGTAAATAATCCAACTACACCACGGCGACCTGTAAATTATCAAGCTACACCACGGCGACCTGTAAATAATCCAACTACACCACGACGACTTGTAAATTATCAAGCTACACCACGGCGACCTGTAAATAATCCAACTACACCACGGCGACCTGTAAATAATCCAACTACACCACGACGACCTGTAAATAATCCAGCTACACCACGGCGACCTGTAAATAATCCAGCTACACCACGGCGACTTGTAAATAATCCAACTACACCACGACGACCTGTAAATTATCAAGCTACACCACGGCGACCTGTAAATAATCCAACTACACCACTGCGACCTGTAAATAATCCAACTACACCACGACGACCTGTAAATAATCCAACTACACCACGACGACCTGTAAATAATCCAGCTACACCACGGCGACCTGTAAATAATCCAACTACACCACGGCGACCTGTATATAATCCAACTACACCACGACGACCTGTAAATAATCCAACTACACCACGACGACCTGTAAAAAATCCAACTACACCACGACGACCTGTAAATAATCCAACTAATCCAACTACCCCACGGCGACCTGTAAATAATCCAACTACGCGACGACAGTCTGTAAATAATCCAGCTTGGGCCTAGTGGTTGATATTGTAAGCTTCGTCTCTAAATCGTCGGTTACGATGACACCCCACCCGTAACTGAACTGAGCTATATTATGACGCCCAGGCCACAGTCTGTGGTATAGGAGGTACAAACTGTACAATGCAATTATAAGATGCATTATGTACAATTTATGCACATGTACAGGTCAGCACTTGGTGGTAACACATATATACTCACAAAATATTATAGAATATAGAGTAAAACAGTGTTTTCCTGTCATACAATTCATTTTCTAAATGTAGCCATAATTTTATTGCAAAATTTAGATAATTTTCTTAGTGTTCCTAATTTTGAGCTATTTAAGAGATAATTAATTTTGCATACATTTGGTTTAACATAAAACATATTTATGAACAAAACACTTCCTATCTTTTTCAAATGCTTGACATACAAATAGGTAGTGAAGACATACTAATAGGTAGTGAACTTCATCTCCGACGTCATCGAGATTGCATAGGTCACATTTCCGGTCAATTAGGGCGATATTTTTCACTTTGAGTAATCACAAGAGTAATTCATCAATAAGAAATGTTCAGCTACAACGCGTTACACGTAAAGGTAAATAAACTGCGGGGCAATAGAAAATATACACTTGAAAATTAAATTTGAAAAAGAAGCGACCCTGATACAACGATTTTATCTTACCGATATGTTTTAATGTGACATTATAAACAAAAATTAAACAAATTCAAAATTGATAGAAAACAGCTGTTCGACTGAGCTGAGGTACATTGTGCTATGTCACGTGACTTTCATTGACTCGGAAAAAGCGTGCGGATTTTTGCTTGGAAGCGGGATATAAGGGATTTATTCTCCCGCTGAGAAATTAATTTCCCTCCAAGGCGGGCTACATAGAGTTTTATCAAGATCACGTGGACCAATCATATCTCATCATTATGACATGGAGGTATGATGATTTCATTTGTCCGGCAGATTGTTATTATTTTTTATATTTACTGTGTATGATAGTTTCAGACTGGTGGCGTGGTTCACTGAATCAGTATGACAGCTGACATACCGTGATGTAACTGAAATATTGTTCACATTGACGTTAAACCCATCTCACTCATTCACTCACGCACTAAATCTCTACTCATGTGTATTTTCCTACTCTATACAGAGAAACCTTTATACCTATACTGATCCGTCCGTAACGATACCACACGGGGTTGCCAGGGACGTTTTGGGGACTATACAAATACAGGACCCCATTCCACAAAGCTACCTCAACGCAAAGGTGATGTTTACTCCTATTCTTTAACATTGCCCGAAGGAGGTCGTGGTGCTAAGGTTGCTAAGTGGAACGGGGCGCATCAGTTTGAATTATGCGATGTACCTGTGTATAGACTTAATGGAGTTGAAAAGGACGCCATCGAGTGATATCCAAAGGTTGGACGACCTAAAGTAACACGTGATCTATATACGTTACAGTTCTATTTCTATACCATAGGACAGTTCTATAACAAGAAGAGTTTATTTGAGCTGGGATGTGTGGAAATAAACGTGAAGAATTAGTACGAAACGGAAGCCTTGTGGTAAAATATAAAACGTCAACCCCAGAGAACAGCCAGTCTCGATTATTCGCCGAGACCGATTCCATTGAGCCTAAAAGGCAAAAACCGATTCAATTCGGCTTAAAAAGGCAAAATAGTGGAGAAATTATGAATGGATCACTAAAAAGCAATTGATGACACCAGGTGTTCGCGGAAAGGGTAAGCAATGTCCTGCTCTACCGGCAGCACCCGCCACTCACACATTATGTACAAAAAGTAAGTGTGTGCTTGGTGCCTGACCCCGCACTGTATAGTTATGAGCCTAGCCAAGCAGGGCACCGCGCTATGGTTGGTTGGTTGGTTAGTTGTCTAACGCCGCACTCAGCAATATTCCAACTTTATGACGGCGGTCTGTAAATAATAGAGTCTGGACCAGACAATCCAGTGATTGATATCATGAGCATCGTTCCACGCAATTGGAATCGATGACATGCATCAACCAAGTCAACGAGCCTGAACACCCGACTCCGTTAGTCGCCTCTTACGACAAGCATAGTCGCCATCTACGACAAGCATGGGTTGCTGAGGACTTATTCTACCCCGGATCTTCACGGGTCCACAGCGATGACTATTTTAACCTTGGTAACTCACCATCATCCTCGTACTGCTGGAAATAGTGGACCAGCTTCCTCATGGGTAGCCAGCGTCTCCGCCATGTCCAGTAGGGTAGGATGACCAGCAGCAGGAACAGTAGGACAAACAGACCAATGCAGACCCCGATCACTGTCCAAGGCTCGGACTTCACAGCTATTGTGTTAACTGGAGAAAAAAACAATAATATTTATATCACCTTGATAGGATATAAATTGAACAATGGAATTATACCACTACAAAAAGGTTAAAGGACACAGGTTCTGTCAAACCTAGACAGATTAACTATAGTAATTTGAAAGGTGTTCTTTAACTTCTTTTGAGTAGTGTATAACACACCTCTATTTAAAGGGCTATACTTCAGGGCCTGTTTCCTATTTCTGGTCCGTGTTTCAATATTGTAATTAATGCATGTGGGAAACTGGGACTTTTTTTTCTGTGTAATGGGGGTCATCGTTACCACCTTACGCTTGCGTAATCAGACAAAGTGTTTTTTTATAGATTGATTAAGCTTACTAAGAAAGCCAATTGTATCGAACCTAGATCCTATTTAGAACTCGTTTATCATCTCAAATAGTCGCTTAACTAATCAGCCAGAAAACTGTATCTTTTTACAGTGTAACCGTTCTCGAATGTGTCTTACATATCGGTCATGTTTCGATTATAACCCCGTGGGGATTTCCATAATATTATAGTGAGTGAGTGAGTTAATATTTAACGTCACATCGGCAATATTGCAGCCATTTCGTGACGAGACCAAATTTGACTTTAATAATATACCATAATATTATACGTAAGTCCCCAGCAGCCGTTGCTTCTTTTAAGAGGTGACTAAATGGACCGGGTGGTCAGGCTCAGTGGTTTGGTTATTGCATGTCAGCGAATCCCAGTTGCCTAGATAGATGGTCATGGTGTCAGTCACTGGATTGAGGCAGCTCATTTGGATTGGGTGGTCATGTCTGATTTAGTGTCACCGTCAGCTGATGGCATGGGCCATAACTATGATGTCAATCACTGGATTGTCTGGTCCAGGCTTGATTATTTACAGCCCGTCGTCATATAGCTGATATAGTGCGAGGTGAAACAATATTCACTCCGAAACTGAGGCGCAAACCTATGACGTGTACAAGTGTATTTCCCGAAGGTATCCGTCCAGTTTCGAGTAGGTCCTTCCTCTCCCAAGAAACGTGCATTCATTCTCCCCCCCCCCCCCCCCCCCCCCGTGATATTGCTGGAATATTGCTGAATGCGGCGTAAAACCATACTTACTCCTATAAACTATTTTGGTAGTTTTATATATGCTAATGAAGTCACAGAATGACGCGCGTAATTAATCGCTCAGTATAATCTCGTACATATATGATCGTATGACAGCATATGTCCTCTATGTGTGTCATTGTGAGTATAAGATGTTTATAAGAAAACTTAAAAATATGGCTCCATTTCTAAGGATTCATATGGCCCCAAGTGTTTCCTTTCGTGAAAAAAAATAATGCCCATCTATGGCATTTTCATGTATACATAATGTTTAGAAAATATCAGTCTAAGATAACGTCCTACACGTATGGCGTTTTGCCATACATAAGTAAAGAGGTAACGTACCATATGCAAACCCCAGACAATGTACACACATTGTTTTCAAACTTATATACAAAGGGCAAATAGTCATTCGCTTGATCTAATCCATACATAATCTTTAGTGTAAAAGTAAAATCAATCCAAATGTGGTTAGAATATGCATTTGTTATAATATAATAATATATAATATAATTTGTTCACTCTAAGTTATACTCCTTCATGTACATCGGAAAGATTTCAACCAAAACATCACCTTTCCTACCCCAGCTTACCATGTACTATTTACACTTTAATTATCAAATCTTTTTTGCAAACTTTTTGGAATATTCTTTTTCGATTAATACTTAACATGCCTATAGCTGTGTTCATTGGACAAACGGAACAAAGGAACAATATATTGTGGATGATACAAACATAACTATACTTGATATTTGTTACATGTACATATATATCCGTCGACGTTTTTTTGTGCGAGATGTAAAGCTTTCAACTGCATAATAACAAAGGCTTTTGTTTTCAAAATTGTCAGTATTTTATTGCCAAACCCCAGTCAACTTTTGAAAGGCGACCTAACTTATGGCAACCTACGTACAATGAAAGTTTTGAATATAAATCAACACAGTTACTGTTATTAAACAATAAATGTCTTATTATTCAACACATTTATACCCATGTGTCCCGATTAAGCATTCTGAACATCAAGAGACAGCCTACCGCGTCATCTGGTATGATTTAAACTCATCCCTGTATGACCTCGCGTACATGTTTATCCGATTATAATATTAAATGTAAAATAAAAAACATGACATCTTTGTGGATGTATTTTGTCAGAAATACTTTTGTGCTGCATCATCTCGTGCGATAACATTACTTCCTTTAAAATAATATTAAATATATCATTCTAAATAAACAAACCAAACCGAGATGGAGAAAAAATGGTGGATCACTATTACGTCAGTATCTCCACGGAGATCTGCCTAGGAGCGACAGCTGGGCAAAAAACACTCCTTCGGCTTCGAGTAATTAATTATGCCGTAAACATGTCCCGTCAAGACAGTATATCTCTTGTAAGTTTAACAACTGTTGATGCTGGGGATCCCGTGTGTGATGCATATAAATGTATTAGTACAGCATATGTAAGCTTCATGGAGGAATGGGCAAGAACCTTTCTGTGAGCGTGTATCTACCTGTTCCTTCAGGCGACGTCCTTTTAACCTTTCCTAGTTGTTACCCCTGCTATTGAGGTCGTCACATGACTGATGATTTAGCTTGCAGGTTATAGTCTAGTGGTTGTATACATGATTGAAGCATTACGTTATACAGGTCAGTCCTGATGCAAGTTTCCTGTTTGTCAGAGGGATTGTTTGTCTCGATTACCTATACCTATTGCAATAACCATCTATTGCATTTTAAATCTGAATATTTTACTTAAAATATATATTCATGCAAACATTTTAAGTGTTTCAATACGTTAAGTATAAATGAAAAACAGTATTGACAGTATATTCTTATAAGAAAATGATTCACTCACAATATGTAACTCTGTGCTGTTAACCTTGACCTTAAACTCCATAAGGGGACACATAATATATTATGTCAAGCAAGTCAAGATTGATGCAAAGATATATACTCACGGTGATGGAACCATGTTTATAGCGCTTTGCAGCAGTTCTTTACTATGAACCTTGACCTACCACTTCAACAAGGACCTCATAATATTATATCAAATAAGTCAAGATTGATACAGAGGCATATTCTCATGGTGGTACGACCATGTTTATAGCGCTTTGCAGTACTTTACTATGAACCTTGACCTTCCACTTCAAAAAGGACCTCATAAGATTATATCAAATAAGTCAAGTTTGATACAGAAGCATATTCTCATGGTGGTACGACCATGTTTATATATAGCGCTCTGCAGCACTACGTTACCTTTCACAAATGGAGCCGGAGTTGTTTTTAATTCATCGCACTGTCCTCCAGTATAATTCCAGTTACACACACAGTGCATGGTTTCATTCAGGAAGGTACACACTCCTTTTTCTCCACAGTCACGATCACAGCGATGCTCACAGAATATTCCTGTGTAGTTTGCAAAGCATTCACATTTAACCTCATTGGCATCTTCTACACACTCCCCGTGATCCCCACAATAGAAGGCATTGCACTTGTGGTCTTCCCCATCCTCGCATTCAAACATTGGCACCCTGTTCCAATCAAACAGACAGGTGCCCGTACAGTTTTCACAGGGTGAGGCAGAGTCCATTGTTGGGGGAACAAAATCCGAGTATAAGTCCTCAGTGGGCATTTCTTGACCTGCTCCCTCAATGATGTTGGAATCTGTTGTTTGGGAATGATTCGATTTGATGATGGGTTCAATTTGATGCAATTGCCCTATTCTATTATCTATGTCTCCATGACCAAGAGATGATGCAGGGGGTTCCATCGTTGTGGGGGATTCCAGGGTGGTCATATACGTTGTGGATGCAGTCTGCAATTTATAGGTCGGTGTTATAAGTTCCTTTTCAATGACCATATCATTTGATGCGATTAAATGAGGCGGAGTACCTGGAGTTGAAGATACAGAGGATGGCGATACATCAAGACTTGGGGTAGCAGATACAAGGTTTGAATCATGAGACTGGAGTAATACGATGGGCGATTCGAAGGTGAATCCCAGGATATCTGAAGGAGATGGGGATGGAGAACCTGGTGCTGAATCTACTGATGAGGATGGAAATATGGTAACTGTATCAACATGTCCATCGGTTGTTATGGAGGTAGATGTGGAGGTGGGACTGGTTTCTGCTGATGAGGATGAGTTGACTGTAGGCTGGGTGGAGGATGTGAGTTCATCACGTATTTGTTTCAGCATGTATTCACACATGTATGACGGCAGTCCTGATACACACAAGCACAGCTTAGCACAGGTGGTATATCCAAAAGTGCAATCACCGTCAGCATCGCATATACCGGGTAGAGCTTGGCAACATGTTTCATCAGATGCAGTAGTGGAAGGTGACAACGAAGGCGGGTGTCCTATGGCCTCTAGTGGAATGACCTCACTTCCAGAGGGCAGACCAGAAGGAACATCCCCAACTGAAGATGAAGTTCCCAACACACACGAAAATGCCGTGACCCAAAGTAGCAATTTCAGCAGCAACATTTTTCTGTTCTTAAAGAGAACTAAATTTCCAGGTACATCATCTTCGTCGTCATGCATATGAACATATGTATGCATAGTCAACCATGGTTGGAGATGAGGCTACGTTGGTGAGGCTACCACCGGCATGTTTGAAGCAAACACAACTTCATGGTGTCAAACACACAGAGTACATTCCTCAGAACCGGAGCCATTGGATGAAGAGTTTGTCACGATACTTCTGTCACAACATATCAGCATTCAAAACTCCAGTGTACCACTGCGGGCTTCAAACATAATCTGAGGTTCACATCCCACGATCTGATATACAACCGATCCTCAGGTGGGAAGGGGGACACCACGCACGACCTGATAAGGTGAGAGTATGTCTCCGACTCAGCACACTTGAATGTAGTTCACAGGGTGGCCCTATCCCGTTTTCAAGATGGCGACTTCCAATCTGTCATAGTGTCATTCTGCCTTCACGGTAGATGCCTGCGTCTCAAAGCGCTCATAAACACTCTCTCTTGTCGACAGTGACAGGCAGGGTCCTTGCCATACAACAGAGTGGCTGTATACTCATCTCCAAAAATTGTGAGACCTGATATGCTGATTTAAAAAACTTTATTAGTCATTATGCCATCAGTATCGTGATGGTATTTATGAAAATAATTATTTAGAAATTGTTACGAGCCAACTTAATTTTGATCCTTAAAATCTTTAAAAGTATTACGTGCAGAACAACAAAATTGGCCTATTATTGTTGTACGTGTAAACATGATTATTGTTAAATGATGTCTAGTGCAGGAAATTGTTGGAGTGAGTGAGTGAGTGCGTGCGTGCGTGCGTGCGTGCGTGAGTGAGTGAGTGAGTTGGGTTTTACGCTGCTTTGAACTGTATTCCAGCTATATCACGGCGTGTCAGCTTAATGTGGGAGCAAAGCCCCAATGCATATCTCAGACGTTTACCACTTTGGTGAAACCCACGAGCACGGGTATGGTGCTGACAAACCTGGAAACATAATCGGGGCGAACCGAGATTCGAAACTACGATTTGGGGAGACTCAAAGGGGCGCAACTCTGCATAATGAATTGTTGCGCCTTTTCGACTTGGACACACCGCGCCCCGCGAATTTGTTGTGTATGTTAAATTATTTGGAATTAATAGTCAACGCTCACTCTGTATGCTTCATTCACATTGAGTTGCTCTCAGTTAACCGAAAGCAAGATTGCACTATTATTTTATATTTCAACCAAGGGTTATCGTACCGAGCGGATAAATTAAATGTTGTATCCATCTCTCTCTCTCTCTCTCTCTCTCTCTCTCTCTCTCTCTCTCTCTCTCTCTCTCTCTCTCTCTCTCTCTCTCTCTCAGATCAATAAATCACCCATCCATCCTTGTATCCACCCACCTATCACTCATCCTGCTATCTATATATCACTCTCACTATTCATTGTTAAATGATACCGTCATGGACTGGTCTCATGAAAATATGGAATTTCTTTCTCGTGACATTTATGACAACATATGATCCCCGCTATCAAATAATTATGATCTTGCTTGGTGTGACAACCCTTAGTCATAGCCAGATGGCTGTGACAGATATTTAATATATATAAATCCTTCATCCTTCAAACTTTTTGTATTAACATACACCCTAATATATTTTTAACATGAGCAGGCCTCTGACGCTAGCTGAGTTTCTTAGGTTGGTCGGTTGGTTGTTTTACGCCGCACTGGAAAAAATCGAGTCTGGACCAGATTTTCTTAGTCATAACTTGCTCAAAACCTACAGGGCAAAAGACTGTATACACTTGAAAACTGGATACGACTATACTATCACAAACGTTTCTGGGCTGAAAACAGTCGCCGAAATACTGCAAACTTAAGGTCCAAACACAACTATGATGCCTGTATCAAATACATCACCATCGAATAACCACTGTTCGTTTCATTTGCTTGTTTTTAGTCACCATCAGACATGGGTGGATACATTCTTTTGCCCGGTTGTTAGGCTGCATTTTGTCTTCAAGTCGGGAAATCACCCTGTCCATCCATTCAGCCATACTTATACTTCCCGAACACGCCATAAGCCTAACACTTGCGAGTGTAAGAAAGAAAAACGGCTCGTTGTCAGCTATTTGGACATGCCAGATAATATCATACCAATATGTCAAAGATTACTTTAAAATCTGACATTTTCTGTGAACCAAGAAGGGCCCTTATCATTCCTCGTTCTTTCGTAATTATCATAAAGGAAATTTGCAGTCCTGCAAGTTTGATTGAAGTTGTTGGGAACAACACGTTGTCTTGTAGCTCCCATGTTAGGATGTAATCCGAACTAGTTGTTCATGAGACTATAATTACACAGATACACTGTATTAGTTTCACACATGACAATAACATGACATCACATGACAGATTAACTATACTATTATGAAAGAATCGGGCGTTCTTTAACTTATTTTGTGTAGCATCCATTGGCGTCAGTTGTGTAACTTCCATTTAAATGAAAGTTTGAAAGTTTACAATGACTGAGGATACGGAATCCTGCATATATTAATAATATAGAGAGCACTATATTACCAACCAATAACACCATACGTGACACCGTGAGTGTTACGTTAAACAGTAGGCAGTTATAACACACGGGCCTTGTCGTTCCTTAAATACTTCTGGATCGATTGAGATCAAACGAGTGTCAGAAATGTACTACTCTATATACAGATACTTGCACTATTCTTTTTGCAAACACCTGGTATCATCACTATTTGATAGTGATTCATAAACATATGCGTATGATATAGTCGGAATAGTACAATGGACGTATAGTAGAAATTTATTATGATTATGGAAATGGTTTATGACTTGTTACTTACAACACGGCGGGTCAGATCAATTGGAAGGAAAGTCCAAATGAGGTACATTGTAAACATTTTCCAGGTTGGCTAAACCGAGGAACATGGGTAGGCTGCTGACAAACAATCAGAGCATATTACGATTCGAACCTACGACTAGAGGATCCAGGAACCGGAAAGGGATGCAACTCTGCATTCCGAACTGCGACGGTTTAAACACTGGCAGCCTGTGTCCGTCTTGAGCGAGGTCAGCATGGTGTTTGCTTCATTGTTTCTCTCAACAAGAGTGGGGTTGTAAGGGGGAAGGTGTGTTGACTGACACGCACTGATGATAAATGTGTTTAAACGGTACTACTCGAGACGATTCCGCACGGTCGGGTGTCCATCCCAGCCTAGGCCGTCTAGACCTTGTAATTGTTTCATATAGGTAATTCATTAACTGATATAGATTCGTGTACATCGTAAACAATCGAGCAAAAAGACAAAGTGACGTTTGAGCGATTAGATTTGTACGTAAATAAAAGCGACAAAAAAATCATAATCTTAAGTAATTTCAATTTACCGATTCAGACTATATCCTGTTTGTGTGTTTATGAATCACTATTCCTACGGTGGCAGATTTGCGTCCCTCGGGGCACGCCAGAGTCCTACGATTGTGGGTTCGAATCCCGTGTCGCCACGATTATATTTTCTATGGGTTTTTTCAAAGTGGTAAACGTCTGAGAACTGTAGCACCTCGGGCGTTCCTACCACATCAAGCTGACGCGCGGTCGGGTAGCCTAGTGGTTTAAGCGTATGCTCGTTACGCCGAAGATCCGGGTTCGATTACTGACATGGGTACAATGTGTGAAGCCAATTTCTGGTGCCCCCAGCCGTGATAATGCTGGAATATTGCTAAAAGCGGCATAACATCAAACTCACTCACTCAAGCTGACGCGCCGTGATATAACCCTTAGTATCTCCCTCTACTAAATGAATCGTGTATACTCTCCCATACCTAGTTCACCTTTGTAAATGAATTGTAGTTAAAACATAACGTTTCACATAATCAACCCAACGACGCAACAACAAAACATTAAACATAGAAACACGGCTAGGTACGGTACGTGTTGTCTCCTGGGACGGTATGCAAAGTAAATGCCTCCCTTGGGTTAACACGGCGTTAAAACCACGACATGACAGGTAAAAATGCGTTCTCTTTCTAAACTGACAGGGTTACAGCTAACATCATCAACGGTCAAACGGCTTCAGGCATAACCACACACTGGCCGCCCTAGACACCAGTAACCCTTGACCTTGATAAATCGTTGTGTTAGTGAGCGTGACTTTGACATCTACTTTTGCGTGTGTGGTTTTTTTTGTTTCTGAAAGATTGTTTGTACCAAACAGCCATTGAAGACAGGTAAACTGCGGAGAACGATATGCCGAATTCCGAGGAATTGTTTTTGCAGTGACGTTACAGAAAATACTTTTTAAGAGTTCAATGCACCAAGTTTATTTTCTTTTAAATACTCAGTCTGACAGATATCAAATATATGTTAATAGCAGACACCAAAACTTGGATTAGCTTAATTCTTTGTTTTAACTGGATATTTGATGTTAGTGAAGAGACTTTGACATCTACTTTTGCAGTTGTTTTTTTTTTTATGTTTCTGAAAGATTGTTTGTTCCAAACAGCCATTGAAGACAGGTAAACTGCGGAGAACGATATGCAGAATTCCGAGGAATTGTTTTTTCAGTGACGTTACAGAAAGTACTTTTTAAGTGTTCAATGCACCAAGTCTATTTTCTTTTAAATACTGACAGATATAAAATATATTTCGATAGCAGACCCCAAAACTTGCATTAGCTTAATTCTTTGTTTTAACTGGAGGGGCGGTCGGGTAGCCTAGTGGTTTAAGCGTTCGCTCGTCACGCCGAAGACCCGGGTTCGATTCCCGACATGGGTAGAATGTCTGAAGCCCATTTCTGGTTTCCCCCGCCGTGATATTGCTGGAATATTGCTAAAAGCGGCGTAAAACCATACTCACTCACTCACTTTAACTGGATATTCGATTTACGTAACTGAAATTAGGATCTAATTATAACCGGCTCTGGAATGGTGGTTTTTCAATGTAATGGGGTAGAGTGGAACCTCAAGATACAAAAAACAGGATAGAGTATCGATAGCTTTAATTATGCCAGAAATATCAAGCAGTGATGAAGGCTGGTTTTAACGAATACGAATACTTCGTTACATCCCTAGTTCGTTTCTGATAAAATGACCGCCGCCATATTTGATCGAGGGTCATTTACAACTTGATGGCTCATTTTTGTGCACGACTAATCGTCATACATCATTAAACACAGTTAGCTCCTAAATAGTTGACGCTTTGTCTCATTTATCAACTTCATGTAAGGGGATTAGGCGTGTCATCAGAATTAATTGTTGTTTAATATACACAATTTGACAGTAGTATATTTCCATAAATATTATTCAGAACAGTCGTTTGTAATAAATGATCTTAAACCATAAATTATACAGAAGATGGAACGCATAAGAACGCCGTTT